CTTTATCTTTATCGCTATTCAGAAGCAGACGCTGCTCATCTTTCTTCGTATTTATCTTATCAAGTTCATCTTTCTCAATTGTTGCAGTCCAGACAATGTTGCAATCCAGACAATTATCATCATCTCTAATGAGAGTCATTTCAAGATCATTCTCCAGGTGCATCTTGACCTTGAAGAAATTTGGGACAGTATTCCTTCTGAGCGTGATCCCTTCTTTGGGATGGACAGAGGCACCAGGAACATTAAGAAAGTGTGGTGTTTTCATCCGAAATGCCTTGTCAGGTCTGGGATGCTTGATTGGATGGCTTGATTTTTCTTCTTTCTCCACAACTTCTTTTAAAAGTTCATCAAGTGGATAAAAGTAGACATGTAGAATGAGAGGATCTTTAGAACACATGTACATAAGAAGATCGCAGTGTTCATCCCACTGCATTATCCAACTTATAATTAACGTTTTAAGAGAGAATGATGGTTGGACAATTTTAGCATGAAATCGGGTCAGCTGCACAGGCTCTACATATATTCCCTCATCTTTTACACTGAGGACTTTCACAGCATCCTTGAGAGAGGGGTCAGAATGTCCTAAACAGACATAATGGGGCAGATGAACTTCTTCCAGTTTCCCTGAGATCACCGTCACGTCAATCACTGGACCGATTCGGTTACACTGCAGACGCTTCAGCTCTGTGTTGAGGAACCGACCGTCTACGACATGATACTGAAAGGTGACCTCACAGTCACAGACCCATCGCATTCTGGTCCTGATACACTCGTAGCGGCCTGGGACAGTGCTGACCCTAAACTTCGACATGCCTTCATGTGTATGGGTCGACGGCTCAATCTGAACCCACTGATCAGAATCAACTATATTGATGCAAGACTGACAGGTCAGAAGTGGCTGATGCAAGACTGACAGGTCAGCAGTGGCTGAATATTGAGCTCAGAAGGTTTGGGGTTGGAGAACCTGTAGAAGAGGTAAAGAATAAATAGTGAGAAGTTTGGATATAAACATTATTAGCACTTAAGCTTTTTTACCAAGGCTTGTCTGCTATTGTTGATGATAATTCAAATCAGTGACATATGAACAACCAAGGAAAGCTCAAATGAAAATATGTCTAGACTCGCACAAGGACATTAGCCTCTGATGGAAACAAGCTAACTGAGAAATACATGCCGTTTATCTAAAATAATAAATATTCACAAACATATAATCAAAGCATACAGTTTAACGGCTGTTAAGGAGAATTTATTGTCTTTATTGGCAGTTATTGTGTACCCTTTGCTCATATGCTGAGACACACACATGCACAAATTGTGTGTGTCAGAGAGAGATAAAGAGAGCAAAATGTACACATGAAACCAACCATAAAAGAAATATTTATGTGTGATAACTCACCCGGTTATGTGTGTATCTCTCTTGTTTCTAACAGGAGGCTCCTTATAGAGGCTGTTTATGTCACACAGAGACACTGAGGAGTTCAAATAATAAACCCCAAATCCAGCATAGAGAGGTTCAGTGAATGTGGTGTTGAATGTATGTGTGTGAGTTTGTGTGTGTCAGCGACACTGTAGAAGGACAGAGTGCCGGCCAACACATTCACAAACACTCCTACTCTATTAGAGGTGCGTGAAAGAGTAGAGATGTCCGTTGAATTGTTATTATGACGGGCAGTAAACTTGGCTTCAGTGCACAACAGGCTCCAGGAGATGTTATTGCGTCCAAACATACAGTCACGACTACTTCCCTTCCTGACGATTCCTTTATATGTCACTGATATAACAGCCTCAACTCCACTCCATTCAGCCTCCCAGTAACAGCGTCCAGACAGACTCTCTCTACACAGAATCTGATACACATCAAATCTCTCAGGATTATCAGGATATGACTGATCTTTTTCCACATATGTCACCTTTCTGTTCTCCTCAGACAGAATGAGTTTATTGTTTGCTGTGTTTGGATCCAGTGTGAGAAAACAGACATCTGAACACAAGAAGAGAGACGTTTATAACACAACACCAGTCAGTGTGTGTGTGTGTGTGTGTGTGTGTGTGTGTGTGTGTAGACGTACATTTCTGTAGTCCTTCTGTAATCCTGAACTCTCCTCCATGAGCCACACTATTAAAAAAACAGTGATTATTTGTATATTCATATCCAATAATTGATATGCAGAATCATTTTATATTTGTTACATTTCATTTATCATATCACAACAATAAAAACATTGTATGCATGTTTTTTTTTTAAATAACAACAACAGTACCATCAATAAAATTATCAATAGGCAAAATTGTTTAGGAGAACATAAATAAATGAGAAGGAAGTCTGTAAACTTTGTATAAATGTGTGAAGCTCTAACTGAAACATTTAATTCATACATTTCAAAAATGTACTTGTGGGCCACGTGAAATGAGGTGGAAATATGTCAGGCTTACAGTATCTCGTGGGCCACATGCAATGAGGTGGCGGGCCAGTTTGGGCCTGTGGGCCTTGTGTTGTGTTTGACAATTATATATTTTTATTGGAATGTCATAGGACCCGATTTAAAAACAATAAACACAATAGCTAGCCTACAGACTATTTTAGTTCTCCTCACTCCACAACAAATCCTTTCAATTTAACGGTATTCAGAACAGAACAAGAATGAAAAATATAAGTTGCCAAATGAAGTTGTTAAAATATAAGTAGCAAAACGGATAATAAACGCTGTTGTTCTAATGCAGCCTACCTCTTTAATTCGGCACAAATCCAAATGTTTCCATATTTGAGATGTATTTGAATGCTAAACTATTATTTATTATGTAAACCAGTCTTTGTACTTAACGCACTTGCCGCAAAAGAAGCATCCTCTTCACATGAGCAAATATGCTTCATGGCCTGAGCTCAGGCTGAACGGCATGGACTGTTTTAATTAACCAGTGTATCCAGTGCTTAGTGCTTATCCCGGAACAAAGCGATGTGACGGATCTGGCAAGTGATCGGAGGAGGGCAATCACATTGGTGGACTAACTTGAGTGATTACCAGCTTGCATCAGTTGCTTTCAAAGTGTGCACATGTACTCCAAAAATCATGGTTATTTTCTTTCAACCAAAACATTTTTTGTGTATCTGTAGTTATTGTGTAACCCAGCTACTTATAGAAAAGTCGCAACAACCCAGCGTTTGTAATGAGCAGAGTATTTTGCATCCTCTTCAGGTGTGAGAGTAGTTCTCAGTGCTGCCGACTTGCATTTCTTTGGTAAAATATAGGTTTGTTTATGATCTAATTAGTCTATAAAACAGTTTCTTTGCTGTAAATCATTTTATGTTATGCAAAGCAAACTAAAGAGACGCAATGTCAATCACTTAAACGAGTCGCATTTGTCTTTTCGCGACGATAAATGTTTCATATTTACTTCTAGAATGCTTGTTAAATGATGTTTAAATGTTAGAAATATTGTATACATGTTTCAAAGGTAAGATTTGTTGTATTTCGAACTGTATTAGTTATAAATAGTTTTTATATATATAAAGCGCAAACCATCTTTTGGCATTAAAATAGTACTGGCAGGATTTACTAAATAAGTGAAGAATTAGAATTGAAAAGGCATGGACACAGTTACTTTTGCGCCTGACCTTATTGAATATGCCTTTGTAGGAGTTTCCCTTTCAGACGCAAAATTTATGGGAGGAGAGTATTAAAATGAATCACGCAACATGTTTTACTAACGTTTGCGCTCGTCAGATTACTGGTATTTGCGCCCAAAAAAAAAGCAGGCACTAATTTGCACTGCTCTTGGTAGATTGCGCTGATCATTATGGAAATCTAAATGAAAATCTGGTTGTGTCTGTGTTCTTTAAAGTGCCCTATTATGCCATTTCCAATATTGCCTTTCATGCAGTGTGTAATGTAGCTGTATGTGAATGTAAAGGATCTGCAAAGTTGTAAAGCTGAAAGTGCACGATAAATAAAGTTATTGTCTCCCAAAATAAAGAATCGACTCTGTACAGCTTAGACGAGTCATTAGTAATTCGAATCCCACTTCCGTGACGGCTACACGTCACGGGGTAACACATTTGCATAATGCCCGCCTATGTTCTATGTTAGCCGGCCGCGATCAACTTGACCCCGCCCACAAACACGTCATTCACGACTGCTTCTCTAATCTCGGGGAGTTCAACACGGGATTCATAAAACGCTTGCTCTTGAAAGATGGCTCAGTACCCAGTTTATTTGGACCAGCTGTCTTCACTGAATCACAACCTGTAAGTATGATAAATAATAAATATTTTATATTGAGCATTTAAAATACGAAACTGTTGCAGTGATCGTTTCGTTTCCGACACGCGCTGTAAGCGGTAGACCAATCACAACAGACTAGGCCATCTGACCAATCAGAGCAGAGTAGGCTCACGGAAAGGAGCGTTTCAGAGAGAATGAACCTTAGAACTGCTTCGAACGAATCGTTTGAGAATCACTGGAAAATGAGGTGATATTTGAGAAAACTAAAGCGTTTTTTGACCTCTCATGCATGTAATCCTATTGTTGGAGACTCCAAAAACAATATTAGGAACCTTAAACATGGTATAATAGGGGCACTTTAATGTGCACCTTGTCAGTAAATCACACGCAGAATTTTCCCCTCCCCTTAGCGTTTTTACGGAATTGTGTGTAACGCTTATATTTGCCCTGTTAAGTAAATCTGACCCTATATCTCTGTCCAGGAAACCACCCGTTTCTCAGTAAATTTCTTTAGTAAACACACACACACATACTTGAGTTTGTCCAGTGCGCATATGGGATCCTCCAGTTTTTCAGAGAGCAGCTTGACTCCTGATGTCCAGTGAGCAGTTTGGATGGCTGAGTATCTCAGAGAGCAGCTTGACTCCTGAATCTCCGGGTGATTGTAGCTCAGATCCAGCTCTCTCAAGTGTGAGGGGTTTGAACTCAGAGCTGAAGACACATAACCACAGCCTTCCTCTGTAACCATACAGCCAGATAACCTACAAACACACACAACAAGCCCACATGGCAATAGTTTGGCAATCGGATGTCACTGTCACAAAGTCACCTTTGCAGTTTGAACTACAGAAGATAACAGCTACAAAAGTAACAAAAACGTCTGTGGAAATGTATCAGAGTACAAGTATTAATTTTTGTTTAAAAATGTATTGCAGTTGACTGAAACGACTGTTTGAGTAAAGTACAAATTGCTGCCTTGGTATTCTTTTATTTGTACTCTTACTTTTCCAGTAAAATTGATTCCATTCTAATGGGAGGTCAGCACCTGCATTAATCAAAGCATTTAAACATTCTTTTTATAGCAACTGGCTAATAGTTTCTGAAGGTGTTTCATGTTTCAGATAAAATAAAAAGAACTTAATATTAGATGTAGAGGGTGAGAAGGCCCCTAAAAGCCATGTGACTTCAAATTAAATTGAAAAGTCTAAAAAAAAGGAAGCTTGCTGCCTTGCGCAACTCGAAATAAAGGAACTTGAAATTGCTAAAAGAGTCCAGAGTGCATTTTGAGTTCTGATGGTTTTGAGCTCTTACATTTGATGTTCATAAAATAATACAACTCAGTATGCTAATCAAATATTTAGTCTCCTTGTACTATACATGAAAATGCACTGTACTAAAAATACTGGTATCTATATTATTCACCATTTAGTTAGTATTAGTACTCCTAAACAAATCATTAAAAAACACAGATGTTTTCAGTGAAATGCTGGAACAAATAAAGCAACTAGATTTTGCTAAAACATTGCAATTGGCCAAGAAAGTCAAAAGCAGAAATAAAGTGTCATGTTTATTTTAAATAGAGTAAAAGTTTATCTGTGTTCTTAAATACCTCAGTGTGTCTAGAACGCATGCACCCACGTGCGAGCGAGCGATTGTGAAGCATTGCAAACAAGCTC